TGCTTCTTTTTTGGCACTTTCCAAAAGAAATCCAATCCAACCAGCATATTATGATGGTGCACAGGGAGAGGACTCATCAAACAGGGAACCGCAAAGAGCATTTCCTTGGGGGAAAAAAAATCCCATCAGACAGGTTTTTTACCAAGCTCTTCCTCTTGACCCCACATTGGCCTCACTTCCCTGGATCCTACCTCACCCCACTCATACCTCATCAAAGATCCTCACCCCGACTCTAAACCTCACACCCGTTTCTTAGGCAGGGCAATTTTGCTCAGTCTCAGCCTCTCCAAGCCAGCAGAGTCAGACCCACTGTGGTACTCAGGAGAGTCATCCTACTTAGAAGGCAGTGTGGGTATGGGAGGAGGGTTGTCAGAAATTTTAACCCATTTTGAATTAATACACACCACTTTTTTTTTTTTTGGCATTTCCCATTATGGTTTTAGGCTACTTTATAATCATTTAGGCACATCACAAAGTAGGTCATTGGGATCATTGTTCTTTTCTTTTTCAGACAAGACTGTCTATTTAGTGGCGTAGAACCAATAAATGAACCACAGACATAGCACAACCTGGGCCTGCAGTTTGCATTTAGTTATTCGTGAATCCATGGAGTATCTGTCTAAATGGCCAACTTATACACAAAGAGAGAAACGTCTCTCTGTCTTCAGACCTGACTCTGATCAGAGGTGACAACAAACCACTATCAGGTCAGGAAGCAAAGAGTCTGATCCAAGATTCCTTTTTAGTTCTTTTTCAGAAAGTTTTTTAAAATACAATTTTCTTCCTGAAGAAACCAAGACGACGGGCTGCAGGCAATGCTACGCGGTCTACCTAGTAAGGAGGAGAGCAGTTCAGGTAAATAACAGGCACTGAGATTGGTGACTGTGGGCAAGGCCTATGCAAGTTGTCACCTATAAAAGATGTTGGTGATCAACATGGTCATGAGAGGACCCTTTGCAAACTACAAAAACAGAAGAAAATACAATTACAAAATGCAAGACAAACTCCCAGACAAACCATTATTGCTGAAAGAGTTCATGTTTACCAGACCCCTAATTATTTGTAATTTGTTTCAAAGCTTATCTTGAATCTTAAGATCAAGATCAATACCTTGTTAAAACCAAAACCAGCTGCCATTGAGTCAATTCTGACTCATGGCGACCCCATGTGTGTCACAGTAGAACTGTGCTTCATAGGATTTTCAATGGCTGTTTTTTTTCAGAAGTAGATCACCAGGCCTTTCTTCCGAGGTGCCTTTGGCTGGACTCAAACCAACAACCTTTCAGTTAGCAGCCAAGTGCGTTAACCGTTAGCACCACCCAGGGACTCCAATGTCGCAGTAGGGTTTATAAAAGCAATTAAGTCTGATTATTTCACTTAATTAAGACGACAAAGTTGAAACGTCCATATATTGCATTGAGGTTAAAATACAGATTGGGACAGACTTGGGAGCAATCCTCAGTTCTACTGCTTCCCAGCCACGTGAATGGGGCAGGCCACCTAACTTTTCTGAGTCTCAGATTTCTCATCTTAGACAGGGCCTGGTGCATTATAAAGACTCAGTAAATGAGTACTAACTGAGGGAGCAGTAGTAGGTTGTGAATCTAAAGAGAGGTGTGGAAAACAAGGTGGTCTCCCCACACTCGGCAACAGAAGATGGTGGTCGTTTGGTGTCCCGGCCAGAAACACTGAAACAACAAAGCCTGTGGAGTCAGTCGGCTCACCTGCTGTTCATGGCATCCTGAACCCTGATTTGGATTCCATTTCTCTGGGCACATCTTTCCTAAGAAAGAGGCCCATCAAGGGCCTGCCCTGGACATCTTTCTCAAGCCTGTTGGAGGGCAGGCCTCGTGCTGGGTACTTAGCGAACCAGTCCTCCAGCACTGGATGAGGCTTGGAAAGTTACAACAACTGCCCTCCACCCAGTGCTGCTCTGATACCTTCTCTTGCTATTTCTCATCTCCTCCCTTCCAGTCTCCTGGGGAAGCGCTGAGGCCCAGATTTATTAGTCTTTTCTCTAGTGGTCACTGGAGGACAGACAGCAGGGTTACTCTTACAGGAGAGAAGAGAGACCACCATGCCTTAAGTCAAACTTCCCAAAAGTAAAGTACTTTAACACTGGTGGTTTGGGAAACAGTTTTTGACAGTATGCAGGCAAATATTTTGTTTCAATAGTTGTGTATCGATTTTTATAGATACCTTCTATGTTTGGCAAGGAATGCTGATTTTCCATTTATGGTTATAATGTAATGTTTCATTTGAAAATAAAATTAAGAAACAAAGTGAGTTGATTTAAAAATATGTATTAATTAAATGAAAGTACAAGTAGAACACAGAAATGGCAAAAGGGTGGGATGTGAATGGTTGAGATTCAAAAAATAATACTTTAAACCAAGCCCCCATCCCCTACCCCCACCCCTCAAAAAACAAAACAAAACCAGTTGCCGTCGAGTTGATTCTGACTCCTAGTGACCCTATAGTACACAGCAGAACCGCCTCATAAGGTTTCCAAGGCTGTAATCTTTACAGAGGCAGACTGCAACATGTTTCTTCCACGGAGTGCTGGTGGGTTCGAACCACTGACCTTTCAGTTCGCAGCTGAGCACTTAACCACTGTATCAACAGGGATCCTTAAACCAAGCCCACCCAGAGCCAGATCTCATCTATCCCAGATGAGCACCTCTTGAAAAGTGGTCCCTAGCTTTCTATGTGCTGAACGCCTGCTGGGAGGCACGCTTATCAAGTGTGGATTCCTAGAATATCTATGCTTTTAGGGCACCCCGAGATACAGAAAATTGGATTATTAATCCAGGGCCTGCAGAACAGCTGATTTTTCTGTGCACTTACTGCCCTACATGCTCTCTGGATCCTAGATGCTACAGTTTAAACTTTCTTTAATGCATTGTCTTTTCTAGGTTACTATACCATTTTTACAGTGGGAGAGACTGAAAGATTTAATAACTTGCTCCACATCTCAGATGAAGAATGGTCAAAATTTCTAGCCTGATCAGCCAGGCTGCAAAGCACATTTGCTTGGGCTGAGTTGCTCTGGCCTTCAGGCCCAAGAACAGGCACATACAGGAAGTAGTATAGGAAAGAAGGTTGTAAGCTACTTGCCTTTCTTTCCATCTGAACCGTGGCCACAAATTAGCATTTTGTGCCTGTGAAGGAAGAGCAATGTAAAAGTAGTAACTAGGTATTCATTGAGGGTGCTAGGTGCTTTGCATACATCATTTCTTTGACCCTGTAAGAATTAATATAATCTCAAAACCAAACCAAACCCGTTGCCATCGAGTGGAGTCTGACTCATAGCGACCCTATAGGACAGAGTAGAACTGCCCCATAGGGTTTTCAAGGAGTAACTGGTGGATTCAAACTGCCGACCTTTTGGTTAGCAGACGAACTCTTAACCACTGCATCACCACGGCTCCATATAATCTCAAGGAGATGAAGATGTTTATATGATCAGGTTCACAGGTTATTTATCCAAATCAAACTCTCCCTCTTCTCTCTTCCCTTCTCCAAGAACCCATATTCCCATTAACTGTTTAAAAACAAAATTCAATCTGCTTAGTCACTTGGCTGGAGTCTGCTGGCGCAGTGGTTAAAAGTTTGGCTGCTAACCAAAAGGTCAGCAGTTCGAATCCACCAGCCGCTCGTTGGGAATGCTATGGAGTAGTTCTACTGTGTACTATAGGGTCGCTGTGAGTCAGAATGGACTCCACAGCTACAGGTTTTTCACTTGGCTGATGCAGGCTCTGACGCCCTCTACTGATAGAAAGTCTTTGGTAAAAGTAACGTCCCTGGATCTTCAGCCATCACCACAGGATTGTTTAGGCAATTATCCTTACATGAGCCTGGTATTGTAATTGCTAATTTGTAACATAGGAACCCTGTTGGTGCAAAGGTTAAGTGCTTGGCTGCTAACTTAAAGGTTGGTGGTTGGAATCCACCCATCTGCTTCCATTTTGCCCACTCTACAAACTGCTTCCAGACTTAAGTACATTAACATTGTCATTATACTAACGTTCCTTCTGTAAAAATCATGCAGAATTATTTAAGCAGATATCTACTTTTCCAAAACAATAGTAACTTTAAATGGTGTTAACCAGACCGCTAAAGAGTTATAAGAATTTTTTTTTTTTTTTTAAGGAAACTGGCCAGGAAATGAGTAACAAAGGAGAGGAAGTAATTGTGAACAAATGTTACAGCTGGAGCTGTGTGACTTGTCATAGTAGTTAACTTTGTTCTCTTGAGAAATGAAAGTTAAGGGTCCCTCCTTCCTCAGAATCCCACAGCACAATTTCTGAAAATCTTTTCACATAATGTAGTTAGATTGGGACTCACAGCGATCCTATAGGATAGAGTATAACTGCCCCATAGGGTTTCCTATGCTGTAATCTTTATGGGAGCAGATCGTCAGGTCTTTTCTCCCCCGGAGCTGCTTGGTGGGTTCAAAGCGACAACCTTTGGGTTAGCAGCTGAGCGCTTAATCATTGCGCAACCAGGACTCCATTTTCGGTAAAATAGTTACCAGTTCATGCACCGTTTATGGGTTCCTGCAAACGCCTCATATCGCATACACAATTACGAGAGTTGAGTGACAGCCAGGTTTTCCCCTTTGATTCTCCCCAGCGATTAGCCAAGGATCTCCTGCACCCAAGTAGGACGTGTGTTCTTTGCGCTCCGGTCTCGGTTCATAGCTCTCCCCAAATTTTCTATTTTGAATTCCAGCAGAAGGGTTGAGGATGGGCAGCTTGTGCCCTCTCAGGGTCTTCACCTGAACCGAGCGCGCCAGCGGACCCGGAAACGCCCCGGAACGGGGAATGCCTATTTGTGCTCTTTCCCCGCCCCACCTCCCGGTCGCGCACAGACCGAATTGCTGATTCAAAGGAGCCCTGCCCCGATAGGGCAGTCCCCGGCAAAGTTTGTCCCCACCCCCCCACCACCTCCCGCTCTCCCCAGGAGGCGTTTTTTAAGTTGTCTCTCGGAAGAGGAACACACAGATGCTTAGAGACGCTTCTGGGGAGAGAGAAGTAAGCAGCCTGGAGTTACTGTGTCCGAGCGCGGGCAGCGGAGCCTGGCCGGGAACAACCTCCCAGGCCGGGGCTGGGCGGGACTGTCACTTCTCGAGAATCTGCTCTGAATTCGAGAGGCCCTTTCACTTCGACAGGCGGATTGCTCCACTGCCATGCCGGGGCTCTGGGTCCTCCTGTCTCTGGTGAGTCCTCCCGCCCGGGTGGGGAGTTCTGCCGGCTCGGAACAGGGACGGGCGGGCGCCGTACGCCCTCCGGGGCAATGGCCTCGGCGGATGCGCGCGTGCGGATCGGGGCTGAGGCCCGCATTTGACAGACAGGCTCCCCGGGGCGGCTAGCACTTTCTCTCCCGCCGGGGTGATCTGGAAGCGGGGAAATTCCCTTTCTGGGGGCTTGATGGAAATGTGGACCCCGCGGGGCAGGCGGAGCAGCTCTGGGCGCTACCTCGGTGGGCTGTCCGCGCCACAGAGAAGAGGTGGGCGCGGGGGGAGTGGGGCTGGCAGGGCCTGGGCGGTTTGGGGGTTTCTGGAGGGAGATACTGGCCGGGGAGAGGAGGGCATCTGCTAGACCAGTCCTTACTTGTCAAATCGAAGGGGTAGGTGTGTGCGCGGAGAAGCCAGCGAGCGTTGAGACAGCCTGCGTTCTTGGGCGTTTCTGACTGTTCTCAAAGTTAGGGAATCAGTCAGCACGGAGGCGATGGTTAAAGCTGAGGCTTCAGAAGGCACCGTTTTCTTCTTGAAAAAGTTATCTTGGGGCTAAATACGCCTCAGGAGGCTTGTTTACCTTCTATTACAAAAGAGAAAAAGAAACTTTTTTTTTTTCCTTCCGGGAATCACTCTCCCTAAGACTGTGAGTCACTGTGGCAGGGTTTTTTTTTTTTTTTTTTTTTTTTTTTTTAATTCTTATTCTTCTTTTTCTTTCATCCTTTCTTAGCTTGCACTCCCACGGTGGTTTCTGAAACCTGTGATGGGAGAAAGCCTTGGCCTCCCTCCTTTGGTGTACCTATACCTACTGCGCATGCTCGCAGGCGGCCGTACAAACTGAAGGTTTATGGCAATTTGAAGCCATTTTTCCAACCGCACGTGCTCACTTCTGTCTCTGTGTCACATTTTGGTAATTCTCGTAATATTTCAAAATTATTTCAAAAATAATTTTCATTATTATTTTATCTGTTATGGTGATATGTGTTCAGTGATCTTTCATGTTACTATAGTAATTGTTTAGGGGCGCCACAAACCGCGCCCATATAAGATGGCGAGCTTAATGGATAAATGTTGTGTGTGTTGTAAAATCGGCTGTTCCCCTGTCTGTCTCCCTTTCCTCAGGCCTCCCTATTTCCCTGAGACAGACAATATTGAAATTAGGCCAAGTAATAACCCTAAAATGGCCTCTAAGTGTTCAAGTGAAAGGAAATGTCATACTTCTCTCACTTTAAATCAAAAGCTAGAAATAATTAATCTTAGTGAGTAAGGTAGGTCGAAGGCTGACACAGGCTGAAAGCTAGGCCTCTTGCATCAAACAGCCAAGTTGTGAATGCAAAGGAAAAGTTCTTGAAGGAAATTAAAAATGCGACTCCAGTGAACATACCAATGATAAGAAAGAGAAAAAGCCTTATGGCTGATATGGAGAAAGTTTTAGCGGTCTGGATAGAAGATCAAACCAGCCACAGCATTCCTTTAAGCCAAAGCCTAATCTGGAATAAGACCCTAACTCTCTTCAATTCTATAAAGGCTAAGAGAGGTGAGGAGGCTGCAGAAGGAAAGTTTGAAGCTAGCAGAGGTTGGTTCATGAGGTTTAAAGAGAGAAGCCATCTCCATGACATAAAATTGCAAAGTGAAGCAGCAAGTGCTAATGTAGAAGCTGCAGCAAGTTACCCAGAAGATCTAGCTAAGATAATTGATGAAGGTGGCTACACTAAACAACAGATTTTCAATGTAGATGAAACAGCCTTATATTGGAAGAAGATGCCATCTAGGACTTTCATAGCTAGAGAGGAGAAGTCAATGCCTGGCTTCAAAATTTCAAAAGACAGGCTGACTCTCTTGTTATGGGCTAATGTAGCTTGTGACTTTAAGTCGAAGCCAATGCTTATTTACCATTCAGAAAATTGTAGGACTCTTAAGCATTATGCTACATCTACTCTGCCTGTGCTCTATAAATGGAATAACAAAGCCTGGGTGACAGCACATCTGTTTACAAAATGTTTTACTGAATATTTTAAGACCACTGTTGAGACCTACTGCTCAGAAAAAAAGATTTCTTTCAAAATATTATCACTCGTTGACAATGCACCTAGTTACCCAAGAGTTCTGATGGAGATGTACAAGGCGATTAATGCTGTTTTCATGCCTGCTAACACAACATCCGTTCTGCGTGGATCAAGGAGTAATTATGACTTTGAAGTCTTATTATTTAAGAAATACATTTCATAAGTCTATAGCTGCTATAAATAGTGATTTGTAAAATTTACTGTATAGACAGTAAATTGAAAACCTTCTGAGAAGGATTCACGATTCTAGATGCCGTTAAGAACATTTGTCATTCATGGGAGGAGGTCAAAATATTAACAGGAGTTTGGAAGAAGTTGGTTCCAGCCCCCATGTATGACGTTGAGGAGTTCAAGATTTTAGTGGAGGAAGTAACTGCAGATGTGTGGAAATAGCAAAAGAACTAGAATTAGAAGTGGAACTTCAACATGACCGATTTGCTGCAATCTCATGATAAAACTTTAACAGATGAGGAGTTGCTTCTTACGGATGACCAGAGAAAGAGGTTTCTCGAGATGGAATCTACTGGTGAAGATGCTGTGAACATTGTTGAAATGATAAGAAAAGATTTAGAATATTACATAAACTTAGTTGATAAAGCAGCAACAAGGTTGGAGAGGATTGACTCCAATTTTGAACGAACTTCTGCTGTGGGTAAAATGCTATCAAACAGCATCACATGCTACAGAGAAATCTTTCATGAAAGGAAGAGTCAATTGATGCAGCAAACTTCATTGTTGTCTTATTTTAAGAAATTGCCACAGTCATCCCAACCTTCAGCAACCACCACCTGATCACTCAGCAGCCGTCAACATCGAGGCAAGACCCTCCACCAGCAAAAAGATTATGACTTGCTGAAGGCTCAGATGATGGTTAGCATTTTTTAGCAATTAAGTATTTTTTAATTAAGGTATGTACATTTTTAGGCATAATGCTATTGCACATTTAATAGACTACAGTGTAATGTAACCATAACTTTTCTATGCACTGGGAAACCAAAAAATTCGTGCAACTTGCTTTATTGTGATATTTGGTTTATTGCAGTGGTCTGGCCCCAAACCTGCAGTATCTCTGGTGATATATAGGCACATAGCCCTATTCTTTACCGTTATGTTTCTCTTGCCATCTCTCTTCCCTGCTGGAGTTAGTTTTCTCTTCCCTAGTTTCCGGGCATTATTTCTCTGGCACCTAACAATAAATAAATTTGAAATCCCAAAACATTAACAAAGTTCTAAAGAAGACAGAAGAGTCAAACGTACTTTAGGAATTTGTGTGAGAAAGTTATAGGTACTGCTTTTACTTTTTTAATAACACATGGCCCACTATAAGGGTTGCTGTTGTTGTTGCTAGATGCCATCAATTTCATTCCAACTCATAGTGACCCTGTGTACAACACAACAAAACACTGTCCAGTCCTGCACCATCCTCACAATCGTTGCTATGTTTGAGCCCATTGTTGCAGCCACTGTGTCAATCCATCTTGTCAAGGGTCTTCCTCTTTTTTGCTGACTCTCTGCTTTACCAAGTATGATGTCCTTCTCCAGGGACTGGTCCCACCTGATAACATGTCTAAAGTACATGAGACAAAGTATCACCATCCTCACTTCTAAGGAGCATTCTGGCTTCTTCCAAGACAGATTTGTTCATTCTTCTGGCAGCCCATGGTATATTCAATATTCCTTGCCAACACCCTAATTCAAAGGCATCAATTCTTCTTCGGTCTTCCTTATTCATTGTCAAGCTTTCGCATGCATATGAGGCAACTGAAAATACCATGGCTTGAGTTGGGTGCACTTTAGTCATCAAAGTGATATCTTTGCTTTTCAACACTTCAGAGAGGTCTTTCACAGCAGATTTGCCCAATGCAATGCATCATTTGATTTCTTGATTGCTGCTTCCATGTGTGTTGATTGTGGATTCAAGTAAAATGAAATCCTTGACAACTTCAATATTTTCTCCGTTTATCATAATGTTGCCTATCAGTCCGGTTGTGAGGATTTTTGTTTTCTTCATATAAAGGTGTAACTCATACTGAAGGCTGTAGTATTTGATCTTCATCAGTAAGTGCTTCAAGTCTTCTTCACTTTTAGCAAGCAGGATTGTGTCATCTGCATACCGCAGATTGCTAATGAGCCTTTCTCCAATCCTGGTGTCTCATTCTTCTTCATATAGTCCAGCTACTTGGATTATTTGCTCAGCATACAGATTGAATAAGTGTGGTGAAAGGATACAACCCTGACACACACCTTTCCCCTTGTTCTGTTTAAATGACTGCCTCTTGATCTATGTACAGGTTCCTCATGAGCACAATTACGTGTTCTGGAATTCCCATTATTCGCAATGTTATTCATCATGTGTTATGATCCACACAGTTGAATGCCTTTGCATAGTCAATAAAACACAAGTAAACATCTTTCTGGAAGTCTCTGCTTTCAGCCAAGATCCGTCTGATATCAGCAGTGTCATCCCTCACTCCACGTCCTCTTCTGAATACAACTTGAATTTCTGGTAGTTCCTTGTCAATGTACTGCTGCTATCGTTTTTTAATTATTTTTAGCAAAATTTTACTTGCATCTAATATTAATGATATTGTTTGATAATTTCTGCATTCTGTTGGATCACTTTTCTTTGGAATGGGCCCAAATGTGGGTCTCTTCCAGTCAGTTGACCAGGTAGCTGTCTTCCAAATTTCTTGGCATAGATGAGTGAGTGCTTCCAGTGTTCCATCTGTTTGTTGAAACATCTCAATTGGTATTTTGTCAATTCCTGGAGCCTTGTTTTTCATCAATGCCTTCAGTGCAGCTTGGATTTCTTCCTTCAGTACCATTAGTGCTTGATCATATGCTACCTCCTGAAATGGTTGAATGTTGACGTATTCTTTTTGATACAGTGACTCTGTGAATTCCTTCAATCTTCTT